GAGCGCGGTGATGTCGGCGCCGCCATTTTGAGCACCGCCTCCGCCTCCTCCCCCTCACGTGATCAGCAGCGGCGTCGCCCATTGGTCCGTCCCGACGGCCGGAGGGTGGTGTGGGGGGAGGGGGTTCCGGCGCGGCCTACCCCGGCCCGGTGCCCCCCCCCCCCCCGGGTTTTTTTTCTAATAATTTAGCACCCATAGCCGTTGTTAGCAACCCTATTCTACGGTAACGATTGGTAATTATTTCTTTATGGGGAATACCCTCGGTAGAAGGAGGAGAAGAGGAGGCTGAGGGGAGACCTGATCGCTCTGCAGATCCTGACGGGAGGGGGCAGGGAGGGGGGTGCTGGGCTCTTCTCCCAAGGAACCAGCCAGCGATAGGATGAGAGGGAATGGGCTCAAGCTGTGCCAGGGGAGGTTTAGGTTGGATATTGGGAGAAATTCCTTCACGGAAAGGGTGGTCAAGCACTGGACCAGGCTGCCCAGAGAGGTGGTGGAGTCCCCATCCCTGGAGGGGTTCAAAAAAACGGGCAGAGGTGGCACCTGGGGCCATGGTTTAGTGGGCATGGGGGTGTTGGGTTGATGTTTGGGCTGATGATCTTAGAGAGCCTTTCCAACCTTAGTGATCCCCAGTTTTTACTTTCATTAAAAAATAATCCATCCCCCAAGCCAGGAAACATGAGATTATGACTCTCCCCTTAATTGGTTTAGTGGTGGAGTTGACAGTGTTGGGTTAATGGTTGGACTGGATGATCTTAAAGGTCTTTTCCAACCTCAAAGATTCTGTGATTCTATGTTAAGTTCGCAGACAATGCTGTGTTGGGTGGGAGCGTTGATCTGCTGGAGGGTGGGGAGGCTCCACAGACCGGACTGATGGGCCGAGGCCAACTGTGTTACCGGAGGTGCAGCTGCTTCATGAAGATCCTTTATATTTCGGTGTGTGTATACCCAAGCTGGCAACTTGGAAGCCAGAACTTGTTCTGGCAAAAGCCTCTTCAGTATGATGAGCCAGGAAAATTGGCAGCCCTCCTCTTTTGTGGAGGAGGAAGAGAGAGGTGATGTGTTGGCTGTGGGCACGGTGCAGTGGGGAGGAGAAGTACCCAGCTAAAACGCATCCTGTGGGGAGGAGGTGATATTTTTCCACACTTGCCCATTTCTGTGATTATTGTGCAGTTTCTGCTGTTAGAGAGTAGAACTGGCTCCTCAGTGACGGCTGATACAAGGCTGTTTGTTCAGCACAACTGATTTGCAATTCAGAGAACTCTCTTCCCACGCACGTTCTCCCTAACACGCTCTCCTGGTTTCCGCTGGGATAGAGTTAGTCTTCATCCTGGTAGCTGGTGTAGTGCTGTGTTTTGGATTTAGGGTGAGAATAACACTGATAACACACTGATGGTGTAGTTGTTGCTGAGCAGTGCTGACACTAAGCAAGGACGTTTTCAGCTCCCCATGCTCTGCCAGGGGCACAAGGAGCTGGGAGGGGGCACAGCCAGGAGAGTTGATCCCAACTGCCCCAAGGGCCATTCCATACCATCCGGCGTCATGGGAAGTATAGAAACTGGGGGGGTTGGCCGGGAAGCAGCGATCGCTGCTCGGGGACAGGCTGGGCATCGGTCGGCGGGTGGTGAGCAAGTGCATTGGGCATCACTTGCTTTGTGTATATCATTATTATTATTACTACTTTCTTTTCCTCTGCCGTCCTATTAAACTGCCTTTGTCTCAACCCAGGGGGGGTTCCTTTTTTTTTTCCCCAATTCTTTCCCCCATCCCACTGAGGGGGGAGGGTGAGCGAGCGGCTGCATGGTGCCTAGTTGCCAACTAGGGTTAAACCACAACACGTGCCCTGCCGTACTTCACAGGCAGCGGTTAAACTCCAGCCACTGTATCTGGAGAAGAAAAACCATAACCATAACCATAGAAGCTGCAAAATTCAAACTCCGGGACAAAGCGCTCAGGTGCCATTGGTAAATTGTTTCAAATTCTGCTAGTGTTCTTCTGGGGTGGGGCGGGGAAAGATTGTTATACCTGCTTTTAGGGTGTGGGTTATGGTTTTCATGAATAAGGAATATTGGCTTGGCCAATATTTCTTTCCAAATGAGAACTAAAAGTCAACAGAGATGGACATTTTGATTGCATTTCCATAATGGTAGTTTAACAAACTCCTCTTTTCAAGTTTGTCCGTACTGGTAGTACACAACCAGGTCGTTACAGGGACATTAACTTCTCATGGTTATCTGCACCCTACGAATACCTGGGTCAAAAGAATGAAAAAGCAGCTCTTTGTCCCACCTGAATGTTTTTAGAAGGAAATTCCTTTATTTTAACTCCAATGAAGTTTTTAAAGCTGTTTTCCTCTAAACTTGTCACATGAATCTTTCACATACTTTCTGATTATTTAAGCCATTTTTATTTCTTTGCTTATTTTGCAGAAAGGAAATGAGAATAGAAATAGAGTAGGACAGTTCCATTAGAAGGGACCTACAACGATCATCTGGTCCAACTACCTGACCACTTCAGGGCTGACCGCATCTTGCAGGATTTAGAAATGCAATCCCTGTCCCAGTTTTTTGTTTTAATGGTGGTTTGTTCTGCCTGTTAGTTTTACGATGGCGTTTCCCAGCTGTGACGAGGGCTGTAGCTGGTTCCTTATCCGACTGTTCCTCACTGCGATGCTGAGGCTGGGGCGGAGGGCGATCGGTCCCCGCTCCGCAGGGAGCAGAGGAGTTTCAGCCCTGTGAACTCAGCAGTGCCAGGGAACGGCGTCCTCCCTCTCGGAGGACCTGGACGTGCGGGCTGTTTCGGGAGGATGGGCCGGGGGTGAGGAAGGGGAGCTGCCCTTTGGGCAAAAGCCGGGGTTATTTGTGCTTCCCTTCGCCTGCCCTGAGCTCCCTTACCTGCAATGCCCGGAGCTCGCCGCCGACACGGGAAAAGCCCGTTCACAGGGCCTTTGGTAGAGGGCTCACGCCCTGGGCTGGCTTCCCGCTGAGACACTGGGCTGGACTTTCCCCGGCTCCGGAGACATCTCCAGCGCAGGCATTAAGCACCCCCAGTGCTGTTCCCGGAGCTGCCACGGGCGCTGGTCTCAGCCACGGCCCCGCACAGACCCAGCGCTTGCCCACTCTGCATCGGATCCCTCCGGAAGGACCCCCCCCATCTTTTACCCTGGTGCTTTGCTGATGCTCTTGGCTCTGCGGAGCCTTTTGCTGACCCTCAAGGCATCTGTGGCTGTGGCGAGGTCGCTGCAATGGAAATGCATTGCACGGGAAACCCCGGATGAGCTGGGAGGAGATCGCTGTCGTCTCCCGTGCCCGTATCCCTGGGACCAGCGCCGCAGGGCGGAGCTGAAAGCCCCGAGACAGCAGGGAGAGACCCCAGTGCCACGGGCGTTGATGCAAAGGCCCTGCCATTGCCCAGGCTGTCTGCGTGGGTCTTCCCTCATCTCACTGACCTGGGGAGGAAAACAAAATGTCCCCTGCCCGGCTGACCCCATCTGCAGCTCCCTGATGGACTCCGGCTGCTGGGGAAGGGTGACGGATCCCAACACCGTGCCTTGGGGCAGGCACCGCTTCGGCCTGAGGAACAGCGCAGCTCCCACAGCCGCCCTCACATGCCTGGTCTGGCGGAGAAGGGCTTTCACCGTCTCTTCTCTCCCTTCCCAACCAGCCCTCACGTCTCTATTGCACATGACAAGCAAGCGTTCAGTGGCTTTTCCAAGAGCGGTGGCAGCAGCGGCTGCATGCACAGCAGTAAATCAAGGCGCCCGGTGCTGTGCGTGGCACTGCGGTAGGACGGTGCCAGGCCAGGAATGGTGGGTTTGAAGTATTTTAGTTTATAATGCCCCTTGGAAATACGTGGTAATTACACGAGGACTCCTTGGGCTGGAGAGTGGCATGAGTCTGTGGAGCGGAGCGCTCCGTGTGCCAGACGGAGGTGGAGACGCTGGAGTGGGTCCAGTGAAGAGCTGCAACAACGACTGGGGCACCGAAGCATAGAATCGTAGGATTGTTTTAGGTTGGAAAAGACCTTTAAGCTCATCCAGTCCAACCATTAACCTAATCTGACAGACTGGGAGAGCTGGGACTGTTCAGCCTGGAGAAGAGGAAGCTGAGGGGGATCCTGTCCTCACCGGATGGAGACCAAGTGGTGCCAGGATGAGAGAGGATGGGCGTAAACGGAAACACGGGAGATTCCATTTAAACATCAGGAAACTTTTTCGCCACGAGGGTGACTGAGCGCTGGCACAGGCTGCCCAGAGAGGTGGTGGAGTCTCCATCCCTGGAGGTGTCCAAAACCCATCTGGACGTGGTCCTGGGCAACCAGCTCTGCTTGAGCAGGGGTTGGACTAGACGGTCTCCAGCTGTCCCTGCCAGCCTCGATGTTCCTGTGACTCTGTGATTCATCACTACCACAAAATAAGGAAGTCAGGATAAATAAGGAAAATCCCGGAAAACAAGGAAATACACGGAAAGCAGAGCAAAGACAAAGAGAATTATACCACAACCCACAATTATCCTGCATGGCATAGCTCGGGACCGCTCCCTCATTTTCCTCTCTGCTTTGTACCGCCCCACGTGATGCTCCACTTTCTCTTCCGTTAAACTGGGCTCCAGGTACATGGTGTTGCTGTACCACTTGCCCCCGTTCTCCTGCACCACGTGGTAGACCATCCCCATCAGCTTGGCGACCTGCTGGTCCCGCTCGGCGCCGACTGCTCTGTTGTTGAAGCCGCAGTACCTGCTCCCACACTGCAGGATCAGGTCCTGGAGCGCTGCGTTGTCGCAATGCTGCAGGTAATCGTGCAGCGACCTTCCCGCCAGGTCTTCTGCGTGGGTGAGTAAGACGATTGTGTGCCTCAAAACATCAACTCCAAAAATGTCCTGCAGTCTCTGCACGGCCTCCTTGTCCTCCTCGATGAATTGGCCCAGCTTGGTTACCAGCAGTAGCACGTGGGGGCCAGGGGAGGACAGCCTGACGCAATGAGTGATTTCTTTGTACACCTCACTGATGGCAGCTCTTGGATCCAAAATATCGGCCGTGTCAATGACCGTGATGTCCTCACCGTGGCAGCGCCCTTGTGCTTGCACACAGCTCACGGTCACCGGCTTGGTCGCAAGCTTGGACTTGAACACGCGTTCTCCGAGGAGGGTGTTCCCGGTGGCACTTTTCCCTGCCCCGCTTTTCCCGACCAGGAGGAACCTCATTGCCGAGCCCCCGCTGTCCCCGGGCAGCATGGGAATGGGAGCGCACTGGATCGCCATGGCCACGCTGCACGGACAAAAGGAGACATACGAGACTCCCGTTAGCACCGTGGTGCTGCCCGCACCAGGTGCCTGGGGTGTCTGCATGGGCTGCCCCCCTGGAGACCCTCCCCGGGGCTGCCTGGCGGGTCTGGGGACACCGGTGACATCCTCCAGGCACCCTTATGGAAACATCGAATCGTTTAGGTTGGCAAAGTCCTTTAAGATCCCCCAGCCCAACCATTAACCCAACACTGCCAAGGCCACCACTAAACCCATTAAGGAGAGAGTCATAATTCCATGTTTCATGGACTGGGGGCTGGATCAGTTT